TCTGTGAGATGTTTCTCTACGCAGCAGTGCACTGAAGATGCCACTGAGAAAAGTGGTGAAACATTTGCCATTAAATTAATTAGCTCGGAGAACGTATCCAAAAGTTAGTCTATGGACTTCCTGTTGATCGGTATTTTCGCTTCCCGGAAGCTGCTGAAAAAGTACCGCGATGGACAACAAGTAACGTAGGGAAAGAGCTTGAAGGAGGCAACCACAAGCCTGATATCAGTAGGGTCGGTCCGCGTTCCCGGGTTTGGGAGTACCCTACTCCGAATCCCAGTTGCTGGAAAAGTTGGATCTAATGGCCCGAAACACACATCTGTGACACGAGTGTCATTCTACTTCATTATTTAGTTAATGTTTAAGCAAACACAAATCTCCAAGACAAAGTCTATAACTTGCTTCCATAAAACACAAAATTATACTTATTTTTATCACCTATATCGAATTTTCTGCATTGTTCCCATGGCATAATGTCTTTAACTAGATTGCGAATATATATATATATACCATTTTCACTTTAAACTGGACATTTTTCAAACCAACCTGGACATTTCGCAAACCAAACTGGACATTTTACAAACCACATTGGACATTTTGCAAACCACATTGGACATTTTGCAAACCAAAGTGGACATTTTGCAAACCAAACTGGACATTTGGCAAACCAAAGTGGACATTTTGCAAAACAAATTGGACACGTTGCAGTCTAAGTAGCAACTCGCCAATTTGTTGGTAAGAAACGAGCAGTAAGACTGCTGAATGATGTTCAGCATATACATTGTGATGACGCTAATACACCGGCATTGTGTAAGCAGCGGACTACACTGTAAAACATTTGCTTGATCGTGAGCAGCGACCGAAGTTCTGAACTACGCTCCCCTCTCCCCATTGACATTCGCCTAGTTGGTGTGCAGTGCCCATACGCATCAACCTGTGTAGGTGTGTGACAATTGGAAAATCGGACTTCCGAATCGTAATTGTGTATCAATCATTTTGTGAGTGGATTGCGATGCGCAATCTCAATGTGCACCGTTATTCTCATTAGAGAGAACCTTGTCCGATTCGGTCAATGGGACCATGTCGGATGAAGCAGGTAGGCGGTGTCCTAGCTTCGCCCGTCTCTCTATTAGCTTTCGCAACTGCCACGTTATTGTATCAGCGTAGGCTGTAATGACCCCCAGCAAAACCAATCTAGAGCTATAGCCTATTGTTGCGACATATCAACTACTGAGGGGTGGGCCGAGTACACGATGTTCAGGCCACATTGTGGTCACGATAATGTAACCGAACTGCGTACGTAGGGGGTGATTGTGTAAGCCTTTTTCTTGACATGAGTGCCGTTCGCCTCGGTCAAAATCGGTGACCTATTTTCCCCTACACCCCCTCAAAAGACTAAAGATGACTCACAAAAAGTGTCATTACGAGCTCGACCGAGTCAACGGTGCCACGACAATCGCTAGCCGACAGGCGTACGCTCTCGAGTTCTCGGCACATGCACCTTCTAACAAGGAGAAATGCATCTTCATAGATGAGAGTGGTTTCAACCTTCATCTGAGGCGAACTCTTGCGGCACAATAGCGGAGGTGTTTTTCCCACCTCTAGCTGGTGTGTATAATGATGATGATGATGATGATGAGGCGAACTCAGGCTCGCTCAAGAAGAGGGACGCGCGCGAACGGCGTGTTACCCACAGTCAGAGGTCGCATGGTAACCCTGATTGTTGCAATGAATAACCAAGGCGTCATCCATTCAAAGATCATTAACGATGGCACCTGCAATGGTGCGAAGTTCTCAGCGTTCTTCGAGGAACTGGTGGCGCGTATAAGCTGCATAGTGGAGATGAACGGCGCGTGGCTGATCATGGACAATGCCACGATCCATATGCCTGATGAGCTAAGGAGGATCCTTGGTTCGTGTTATCACCTGCAGTTCTTGCCGCCCTACTCGTACATGCTAAACCCGGTAGAACACGTCTTTTCAAAGGTGAAAGCGTCGGCGAGACGCCTGCTTATTAACCCCACACATGAGCAGACGCTGAGCACGGTCATTCAGGACAGCGTTGGGATGGTAACGCAGCAGGACTGCATGAACTGAGTTCTCAATACAATGATGAACCTGACGAAAGCGACAGCCGAACAACCCTTCGTCAACTGATCTTTGCTATGGTTACTGCCTTATTTTTTGTTAATACACCATTTCAATTTCAAAATGTGCATTTTCAATATTAACAGTTGGCTTAGCGTGTAAGAGCAGGACGGTCACCGAGAATTCGAGAGCGTACGCCTGTCGGCTAGCGATTGTCGTGGCACCGTTGACTCGGTCGAGCTCGTAATGACACTTTTTGAGATTTATCTTTAGTCTTCTGAGGGTGTTGGAGACAGAGGATACTAGTAGGTTTATCCCATTCTCTCTCAGGCACATCTGCAGCTGCACCAACGTGTCCTCAGAGTGCCGTTCAACCGCTTCTTCGACGCGCTGCAATACATTGGGAGTCAGCTTCTCCCTATTGTTTCCACCGCAGGTGCGCTGTGTATTTGAGCCTTCTCGCTTGTAGGCATTAATGATGTTCCTTGCCGTACTCGCGTTAACACCGGCGACTTCAGCGGCTTCCCGAGTAGTTTTGCGGTCGACCAGCACAAGTTTTGTGAGAATTTCTCTTTGCGCAAATGATGTTCGCCTGCAGTGCCGTCGCGTCGGACACCAGCTCTCCTGTTGTTCGTCACTCATTTTGGTCGTTTCGTGCGTCACGGAGCTAATAAAGCTAAGTTGGGTTGAGTAGAACCATTACCGTATGCTCGGCTGCAATAGTGATACCGCTGCATAGGTCGGTCCACACACCCAGACAAAACACACGAATTCCTAAGGGGGGGTGTAGGGGAACTAGGTCACCGATTTTGACCGAGGCGAACGGCACTCATGTCAAGAAAAGGGCTTACACAATCACCCCCTACGTACGCAGTTCGGTTACATTATCGTGACCACAATGTGGCCTGAACATCGTGTACTCGGCCCACCCCTCAGTAGTTGATAGGTTGCAACAATAGGCTATAGCTCTAGATTGGTTTTGCTGGGGGTCATTACAGCCTACGCTGATACAATAACGTGGCAGTTGCGAAAGCTAATAGAGAGACGGGCGAAGCTAGGACACCGCCTACCTGCTTCATCCGACATGGTCCCATTGACCGAATCGGACAAGGTTCTCTCTAATGAGAATAACGGTGCACATTGAGATTGCGCATCGCAATCCACTCACAAAATGATTGATACACAATTACGATTCGGAAGTCCGATTTTCCAATTGTCACACACCTACACAGGTTGATGCGTATGGGCACTGCACACCAACTAGGCGAATGTCAATGGGGAGAGGGGAGCGTAGTTCAGAACTTCGGTCGCTGCTCACGATCAAGCAAATGTTTTACAGTGTAGTCCGCTGCTTACACAATGCCGGTGTATTAGCGTCATCACAATGTATATGCTGAACATCATTCAGCAGTCTTACTGCTCGTTTCTTACCAACAAATTGGCGAGTTGCTACTTAGATTGCAACGTGTCCAATTTGTTTTGCAAAATGTCCACTTTGGTTTGCCAAATGTCCAGTTTGGTTTGCAAAATGTCCACTTTGGTTTGCAAAATGTCCAGTTTGGTTTGAAAAATGTCCAGTTTAAAGTGAAAATTGTATATATGTATATACATAATCCTTTCTTTTGGACGTATTTTAATTGAAAACCTTTGCATTTGTCTTCTCTGGTAACGACAGGTTGCTAAGCTGCTTTCGGAAAAACCCATATATTGCAGTTGAACCTAGTGAAACGAACAGATTAAGGCGAAATTGTTAAAACTGAAGTCGCTTCACATTTATCTACATCACAGATCTGTGTAACAAAGTGGTTCGGGTTCAAAAGCGATGTGCCGTAAAACACACGGTGAATATTCAAAGACATATAATGAAGAAAACATGGGTGCTGTGGTAAAATTTCTTGGAGTTCACTTTCATCTGACAGATCATTTGCGGCAGCATGAATGTGGGCGCTGCCAACCCGATTTGTTGATGGGTGGACACCCGAAAACCCTAGCACTGCTTACAAAATCAGGGTTTTAGATTGCGGTCCTCTGTGTACAGGCTAGGATAGGCTAGACCTAACTAATGTCACTGAACAGTCTATATTACTTATTTCGCTCAAGCAAACTTTCAACTATTAAGTGTGTATATTGCTGGTGGCTATCTAACGCTAAGTTTTACTTACATCTTATTTAGTATTACTGAGGTGAGGTCTGTGTGATATTTGCTCCTGGAGTGTGACCTGTTCAAACCCACTGGTAGTTGTAACGTAGGTCCCTGTCGTCTGAATAATGAGAGCAGAGTGAGAAGATGAAAAGCTGTGTTGCTCGGTGGATCGGACACATGCGCGGAATCACATTGCTGACTTCTGTGAGTTGGTAGACTATTGCAGCGCAACCTACTTGTCATCCAAATCAGAACCCGGTTAGTGGAGCCTGTTCACTGCGGTGCAAAAGAGAATAATCTAATTCCACCTTTTGTTAACATTTTTTTCATGAAGCAATTTTTAACCGCCCTCAACCTTTTAAAACATGCACTTCCGCACGAATGAATTGAAGACACAGATGTATATACGAACAGCCAGGGATACGATCATCTGTACTATAATTGAGGGACGTTACAGGTTGGTTCCTCAAGTACAACACCTAATATTCATCGGCTTCATCAGTTACAGTCGCAATGGTCTAACTGAGGAAAGTTGACGCATCGAGTGCTTCAGAATGACCCTCTAAACAAACAAAGGTTAGTAACATCTACACAGGTTTGCGAGAATTTCGCTGGTCAGTGGAAAACGATAGTAGACTTGACACTGTGCTCTGCATGATACCAGAACGAGTAGCAAAATGTGATGGGCTTTGGGCCTAAAGACGATAAACACTTTCGCATTACTTCACAAAGACGCCGCATCGTAATGTACTAAAGATGCAGAACTTACATCAGCAGCTGTTTGAATGTCGAATATCCGAACAGCTGAATGGATGAAGGCCACCCAAAATGTGTTTGTCATGGGGACAAATGTCATACCTGAAGCCGGAAACATAGGAAATACACTGTTGTATTAACCGAACAAAGAGCTTTGAAAAGCTTAGCTAATGCCCATAAGCTGTTAGGTCCTAGTTTTTTTAACTGCAATGCTGCAGCCCAGACTGCATATGACTTCCAACCTCTTCATTGTAGCGCAAATATTGTGAATAGATTGTGAGTTGTGTTGTCACGAAAGCCAAACCAATGAACAAAGGATTATGTTTTGTCACAGGAAAGTTGACCATGACTCAAGGTGTAACACAGGGAGTTAATCCGTACTATTTCTCTGTCGGTTAATTCACGGTCCCCTTTAGCTTACCCACTGTTTTGCTATATCTCCAAGATAGTCCTAGTCGTTTAGATTCGTCTGATGTAGCTGGCGGCAACAGCAAACGGATCCACAGACAAGTAGCTCAGTAGCAGTAATATATCCGTGGAACAATATTCAGTAGTTAGACTCGAGTCATTGTCTTAGGCAACATATCCTGACGGTCATCACTAAGTACTTTTTGTCTGAAGGTTTGAATTTTAACACAGTGTCCGTTGTCGCTTGAGAAACATCGAAAAGATCAACAACAATTCCTAACTTTGCCAAATGTTGAAAATACGGATAAACAATTTTAATTTTGTGCGTAATTACAAGCCAGGAACTCCGCAATAAGTAGCGGACTCTAGTGATGTCAAGATGCGAAACAATATGTGTTTTGATTTTTTCCTTGGCGCGTATCCGGTGGAATGAGTCACTAGTCCTCGACTAGTGGCCTCAGGACGAAACAGCACGAAAGTTGCCTCATGCGAACATGCTTGTCAGGTGATTCTGGTGGTAAAAGCCTGAGGATCTATCTTAGTAAGCACTATCTGACATCAAATAGGGGGCGTCAGAAGCAATTCAAACAATGTAAGCCACTCTCAATGGTTGCAGTGGCCACAAAGCCATGGGATAGAAACTATTTTATGCTAAACAAACAAAGGAAACAAATAAGGTAACGATACTGCCTTTCATCGGTATGTGTTCATTCGCTTCGCGGGACCTGAACATGGACTAACACAGCAACGCTCCAAGCTGTGCTTCTTTCAGTAAAATATGGTCTTTTGTACCATTTACGACATTAGAAACCTGCACATACAACTGCATTAGCACCGCATGAGCTTGAAACCACTTGTACGAAAGGCAGCTGTGCCACCTGTGTACGAACCTCCTAACACTACGAATCATTATTCTCTTGGGTTGGAATTTTAATATTAACATTCATCATGCATAACACTTTGGGGTTTCCTACCACAGTTTCATATGCGTGAACGCACTGCTTTTAAGCTGAACACCATTCCAGGACAGCCTACGCTTCTGAATCACCAATTAGCTCAGTAACAGATGCAGCAAAGTTGCTCAATGAGAGGTCACGGAGAACTCACAAAACGAGCGGTGCTTTTCTGAAGGCGACAGAAGTGAAGGTCTGAACTATCACATGAATCCGTAAAAGATGCTCACTTGTGATCGGTTCCGAACATCTGTGAACGATGCTCATTAGCTGACCCTCTTCATTCCATAGCTTCACAAATCGATCGAAACCACCACTGAGTAGGACAAATTGGTTTTCAGCGTTTCGAGCGGTGGTCAGACAAGAAATAATTCCTGAATGTGCTCCCCGAATGGTACGAAGGCGATTAAGCGTGGATTCAACGTTGCCACTGCTATCAAAGACAACCAGCCTTCCATCGAATCTGTATGAAGCAATCGAATGACAAAGCATAATTTCAAGTCATCAAATGGCTTGGTTTGAGCATTTACATATGGAGGGATCAAAGCAGATATAGAGTGGTTTCGCGGACATATCAACAAAGCGGCTTTTAGAAAATACTAAATTTGACAATGCTACCAATGTTAAGCATCAACTAGTCCAGATTGCACTGAGGCATCTCAGTGGTTGATCCTAGCTGTATGCATTCGTCATAGTTTGAGTAGGCGCGACGTCTATAAAATAATGTGCAACATTTAGTTTACAGAGGCGATAAGTACAACGACGAGTTAAGCAGAAGAATAAGGTGTGCTAAAGGACGCTGCTCAAATTCAAGGCAAGCATGCGTAAGGAGCTTGGTCCTCGTCCGCGAGGCAATCCTTTAGTATAGGAGTGATAAAAATGCTGCAAGGCTTATGTGAACGCACATAACTGCAAATTACCTGCTTGTTGCCTTCATACACTGACGCATCTTTTAACATGGTATTTCACTAGACCCGCCGGTTTTTTACACTCATTACTTTTGGTTGAGGATTCCCGTCTCACTTTGACGCTAAAGCTATCCCTTTCTTCTCTTTACATGCAGCCGATGGTTCGCTCAGCCCTCCTTGGTTTCGCTTAGTCACGCTGTTCCAATGCTCTTGTCGACTGATGCGTCTGGTGCTTTTCCGGGCTAGGTTGTGCTATGTAGATTGTGAACTGCTGGGATGAATGCCTTAAAAAGTACAACTAAAAACCTGCTACTCAAGAGTAGTATAAAAAATAGCCTCTCCTAGTTTCAACGTAGACTGATAATATATGGATGGACGTCAGCACCTCCCAGGCTAACCACTGTCAGTGACAGCGTAAGATATGTGGTGTTATATCCCAGTTAGCTTGCAAATTATGTAGCCCAGCAAAAGCCCCCATGGCTCAGTGGCTTAAGCTGCTGGCTAGTTGGCGTCTACCTCTAGCAGTCATGTGTGCGATCCCCAGTAGGGGATCGAGGGATTGCGCACCAATGACGAGCCCCAATAGGGCGAAACGCGTCTGGTGCTTTCCCGGATTAAGTTTTGCTATGTAGAGTGTGAACTGCTGGGATTAATGTCTTAAAATGTGGAAAAGGCCGTTCTCGGTAAATTAAAATATTCCTTATGATCAGCTATTATCCGTGACTGGATTTAGTCCATCGATCACAATGATCCATATTTCATGAATTTCCATTATGCATCCTAGATTGTTAGCGCTCTTACTCTAACTGTAGCTCTAGGTAAGGTAATAATTGAAACACATACTATTGTAGCAGTGATAGGAAAACTCCACCAATCCCCGTTGCTTGTTGTGTTTGCCCCACTCAACCCTATTCCTTCCGCCCTGTTTTACGGTACCCCGTATACGTGATTCTGTTGCCTCACATTTGTGATTAGCTTGTATTGACACTGAATATTATGCTTATTCGCTTTTCGCTTACTCTGCGTAGTTCGCTCGTTCGCGAGACACCGTATCGATCCTGCGCCCCTGGAATGACTAGCTTTGATTGATCGGTTGTCAGCCTTTCTGAGTAGCCTGTGTATATGTCCCGAGTTGAAATTTTCGGTTGCTTCGTACTCACGGACCCTTAGTTGCCGGTTTGGCTCGCGGCCATTAACATCGTTTTGCACACAGATTTCCGTTCGTGTTCTCACTACCGTTGCTGGGTCGCAGCAGTCTTGGAGTCGACGCAATACATACCCTTTTTACTGACAACAAGGGAGATTAACGATAAAAATGCTCAGCCTAGGTAACTACTACGAGCGTTGTATTCCACGTATTTATCAACCTGAAGCAAACTTGATGTCATTAAGACATCCGAATCTCATCGAAGAGGAGGAGTTACTGTGCCCCCGTCAAGGAGGTTTCTGCATGAGAGTGGGCATATTTCATTCGGCGCGGATGATATTCGCTCTATCTTAAGCCCCAAACTTTTTGCTTAAAGTGGATCATCTATGTTTGCGGAAACCATAAGGTTCCCGAGGAAACTGTGGTATATAGATATCCCAATTTGTAGAGCTATCCTGATTCTTTTCGGTGACTCTCTAGGTGTACCACACAAGCTTCAAGCACACCACGCTGCATTTGCTATCGCAGAAACAAGCTGAGGCTGACTGCGCTGACGACGACGTATCTCTTGTCTACAAATATGGAATCCTTGATATAGTGTACTGCTGCATCTAACAACACACAGGGTTTTGCGCGGAACCTAAGGACAGTGAATGTCGATCGTCAGAAAACAGTGGATGGTATGTTATGAAATAGGATTCAGCTGGAGAACCATGCATAACTTTGTTTTGGTACTATGATGAGAGAGACAAGCAACACACGTATCGTGAGCGGCTAAAGGATGCGACTAAAGAACAGACAAGCGGTCCTTTACCCGTTTACATTTACTGCACATTGAATTTTCATTGATTGCATGGTACGCCTATGCATACTAATACTAATACGTATACTTCACCTGATCCGAGAAACTGTCTGTTGCGGCACAGATCAATTTGTGCAAGTGTAACCATGCCGTTGCATGTGTGCTATGCTTTAGCATCAAAGAGATTGTTGCTATTCGCATACTTCCGTGTTTTCTCATCAGTAACCGCATTTTAGCGGTAATTTAGGGGTGTTAGTGTGGAGCATGTGCTTCGGTACCCATGCATTAGTTCGAGATCTTCCGCACTAGGGCGCCTTTTGCTATACGTCTTTGCAGCGTCTGAGCGGACATGCAGCCGTACTGATTCCATATGAACCGTATTGTTAGCAGTGATGAGGATTATTAGTCTTTGGTGGTGGAAAATATTGTAGAACTATTCGAACTCGTACATCTACAGAGGTCCACCATTTTATACGTGGATAGGCCAGTTGAACTCGGATCATGATAAATTGAATGAGGAACCAAATAGTTATGCTTATGGCGTCAACCATGAGCCACTAGGCTCTGAGTTCCAGCCCAACTCAGGCTATCTCCAACTGATGAGTCCCAACCAGGACGAAACCGCGGTCTTGGGGTGCCATTGTTGGGATGAGCAACACTATAATGTTTCCAGGTACCAAATACTGTTTGGTTCTGTGCGTTTGCATTGACAGACATGAAACCAGATACAAGGCAACTCAAGGAATGCGCTTTACGTTCCAAGGGTCGGTGAATGTGTAGCCGTACAAATACAAGTTATAAGCTATGTACAGTTCGAACACCGCGATCAACTCGCTACCATGTAACATGAACCAAAGCACCTTTCGATGCTGCAAGATTGACACACATAAAATAAATTGCCTGGAAAGAGGCTGCATAAGAATTGGTCGTCGCGGCTTAACTTGTCATCATGAAAACAGATGGACAGCATAGAATCGCGATTACCGATACCGGTCCGATTGACCTACACAAGTCTTACTTCGACAAGCCAAAAATATTTGTAGCAAAACTCAGACGACCACATTGCTTTATATGAGTTTAAGCGGCAGCAATTTTCCGAAAAATAAAAGCAAGTATAACAGAAGTGTCTTCAGATTTGGCAATGTACTATCATCCCAACCAACAAGAGCGTTCATTTTTAATTTTTTCTTTCTACGTTCTTGCGTTTTTTCATCCCTCGTTCTGTGTTGCCAATAAACTCTCGCGATATGTTAAAATCGCTAAGTGTTTCTACGCTTGTGTATTTATTAACTGCCTTTTTATAAGAAAAAGATTTTAAAAAATCACAGGATGCGCAACAATTCCTTTAGCAAACATCGTACTGGATGGAGAGTAGCTCTTATAATATAATATTGGGAGATCAAAGTGTGCTAGTATTGGTTAGCGTTAACATGCTTTCGCTCTTTGGAAACTTAGATGAAATATCATCCACCGTATTTTTTCAGATATTTTTTCGCAGCTATGCCTCATTATGTTCTAAGAAATTGGCTTTACGGAACCTTGGATTTTGCCGTTGCATCCCTAAGGGAATATGTTAGCATCGAGCTGACTGACCCTGCATAAACCGAAACAGAGGTATTCGGGTCTCTATTTATGTTAATCCATCATGATACACGGCACAAGAGAGCATAATTTGTATCTCTTTACAATGTATCAACTGCTTAGTCGTACAATGCAAGCCGTGGTTAAGTAGCCACAGAACAATATGGTTGAATAACATCTAGCTACCCCAATTAAAAGAAAGTTGCGACAAAATTTTCCTTTTATAACTTTTGCACTTGTGCCACAATTGAAGCAGATATATTTTATGATGAATTTACAACAGCTGTCGTAGAACACATCTAATGTTCTCTATTTGTCTTCGTTGGAGATTTCAACTGATGCGATCCTACCTTACTCACCACTTCCATTTTAAGAAACATAGCACATCTGCCAACCATATTAGATGCGACTTTGGACCCGATTGGTGGTTTTGAGCATTCAACCTTCAAAGGTTCTCCTGTCATCTATGGAAGAACATACATCAAGTTATCCCACCTTGTGATGGGCGAGGTTTAAGTTAGCAGCTCTGTTCTTTACCGGACATCCATCAACTTCTCTCAATGGTTGCATTCGCGGAAGTTAGTTCACTCGTAAACCTTGACTTATCTAAGTACTGTGACAATTGGGGAAGCTATTTTTACTTTTGTTTCAACATATGCTGCCCTAGAAAAACTCTACCCCGCCGCTCACACAGATTCCTCTCTCCCCATGTCAAACGAATGCGCCGACAGCGTTAAAAGAAAAAGGCAGCACTCCAGTAAAGTCTCTCCTCGTCATAACAAGGAAAGTTTACGCTGTTCTAAGCAGATGTATATCCGGTATATATATGGGAGCGGTAGCATTCGTGAATTCTGGGGGATGCTGAAACAGCTTAGGGCAGTTAGATGAAGTGCGTACTATTTTGGTGTGTAGGAAATTTGAACAATGATTTCTACAACTATGACATTAATACAGCTCCACAGATTTACTTCGCCTAAGTTCTGGAGTCTGTGGACACACTGCCGCCTGTCGACAGCTCAACTGAGTGATATCTTGAAACACTTACGAATCGGTAAGGTTACTTGTCCGGGTAGACTATCCACCATCATACACAAAGTATGTGCTGAACTTTGGCAACGCTTCTTACGTCTGTATACATAACGTGTATATAACAACAAAAAGTCACTGAATGCTGGGGAATTTTCAGTAGTACATCAGTGCCAAATGAGATCCAGCAAATAAGAAACTATCGCTTCCACTTCTGTTCCAATAAATATTCTGGAGAAAATTATTCCTGAAACGGTGCTGTCGTAAACGCGCTCATTCATTTCGTCTACGCTAGTTCCAGGTGCATCTTAGACGTTGTGGGTTGCATTGTACATTCTGTACTCTCCTCGCTTGACAATAGAAATAAATCAACTCGAATATGTTTATTCGAAGATAACAACGCATTCGACAGTATAAGCCGCGAATTACCGCTAAAAGATCGGTGTATTCAAGGAATGCGTCCATTCATCGCTTATTTGTTGAGCAATTATTGTGCGGGACACACGCAGATTGCCTAACTCAGTGGTTGGTGTTCCTGCTCACTGATCATCAACACCCATTTTTTCAGAGAGCAATTCCGTTGCATTTTCCATTTTCTACTTACCTTTGGTCAGTACCAAGACCCGCAGAGGAGACACTACTAAGGTATGCTGATGGCACTGTCCTGGGTACTAATCATTGAATCGTCGATTGCTCTCTTAGGATATCAATGTTGATCCAATACTCGTAATCTATCTCCAAATGCCTTCGAGTTATGATCTTCTAACTTCACTACACAGTGGAACCAGGTAAGAGCAGCTACTTACGCAATACCACATGCTCCACATTGATGGCGATGGATTACATTCCTTCACATCAGAGAATATCTAGGGGTGGCACTTTACTAATACTTATCTTGCAATCTTCATGTAAACGAAGCGCACAAAACATTTATAAGTTTCTCGTTTTAAGCCTCTCGGCCGAAAGCCTCCTCCGTCCCTAACCATTATATCTTTTGCTTCCTCAATGCCTTTGTTTTTCCACACTAGACATACTGCACCCCAGTGATTTTTACCGGACTATTGGATAAACACTTTAACTTATTTGTCACCTTAGTAAGGAATTCATCATAATTTAGCAATGTTCCCATGCCTACCTTTATTTGCACGCATGATTTCTTGTCAGTAACTAGCGTAAAACACTGGCCCCTACAAGTCAACTTCTTCATAAGGCTTTATCTAAATATTCGTCAACATCGTTTACCAAGCTGAAAATAAAAATCTGTTTATACTGGGACACAAGTCTAATGCTCACCTGTCAACCGTTATCTCTCATATTCTTGTTAAACCCCAACTCTGTCGTTCCAGACCTAATCAGTCGAGTTGTAACCTGCTGACATTCTGTTTATTCTTTTATTAACCCGCTTTCCATGATACTGTTTCTCAATTACCGTATAATGCCTTGTAAAAGCCAAAAATTTTGGACAGGTTGCCATGTCCGTAGTGGGAGGGTCGGCCTATACAAAGGAATTGCGCAATTTAAAAAATTCACATGCAAAATCCACTCAGATAGTCACTGCACACCTGTGACCCTATCTTGCCTTAGCACCACTCACTGGTGACAGACGGTAACCCAGGTGGGGAGTTGAAGTGCCTATAGATAGCTACATAATGCTTGTTATAGGTAGAAATTCGTCACATCTAGACTCGCTCAGACATCTGCCAAACGTCTGGAAAAGCACTGTACGCGCGTTTCATCGTTTCGTGAATCATCAGCAGTGCGCATTCCGTCGGACTCTTGGTAGGGCTCGAACCCGCATCTCGACTGTTGCCAGTCCGTGGTTGAGACCACTGAGCTACGGGGGACGGCAAAGACCATCGTGAAAAAGTTACTAGATGTGATATAGCGCCGATCACTATCCAATGACTTACACGTTACTGCCGTGCAGAGGACAAGGTAGCCCACTCTCCAAGCGACGAGCTTACCAAACTTAAGCCGCCAATTAACTTATGGAATTTAAGCAGTTTGGCCTGAGTACTGATTACAGAAGAGTAGTAGGGGGAGTTGAATGGTATAGGTAGAAATTCGTCACATCTAGGTTCACTCAGACAGCCGCCACATATTGCTTGTGTCGAGAACTCCTGGTATATTACACAGTTGGCCTTCGCAACCAATGGCGGGAACAAAAACATATTGATTATACAGAATCGAACAACATCATACACAATAACATTGAAAAATGTCACGACGGAACAGTGCCGATTTTATATGGTTACATATCCCAACGCTGCACAATGGTATTACAATTAGTCGAATACTTCGAAACCAGAACCCGAGTCAGTATCTCAAAACGGATGCATGAGGCCCCGACTATGCGGGGCGGTGTCTGGCATTCCCTTTCACCTTACCTCATATTGTCTGCTGTCTTACCTGTTTCGTGTGACTTGTCACCTAATCTATACACTGTCCAGTGCAGTTAAAATCATTGCGTGACGACTCTAAGCCCCATCAACTATGAGCATAACACATTAGGTCGCCAGAACTGACCCGTAGCCGAGCAGCTTTTACTTGTGTACACTCAAGTGACAGCAAATAGTGATGAAACCAAAATCATGAGAAACAATTTGGTTTCTCCTTTTACTGATTTTTATGGTCGGCTAATATACGGACTTATGATTTTGGGAAAATTTGACGTTGCAAAGTCATACTGTCAGTTTATACACGGATCGGCATACACACGGTAATATACGGTAATTTGTCTTTTTGGTACATTGCTGAGATCATGTTTTGGAACAGAAACTTCACCCGCCCAGAATGCATAAAGCAATTTCCTGACTTTATATGTGTTTTCTTTATCAATATAATACAAGGAATTGCGTTGATTAGAAGTTAAAATTGCCTAGTCTCATGTACATTGATACACACGGTGAAATCCTAACTATAGCGCATCTCAGTAAGACTCTCTACCTTACAGACGTTAGACGCATCTTTTCTCAAGTTACTGCGGACCAATTGCCTCGTAAATTTAGTATACACATATACTTTGCATTAAGTAGGTTGTTATTTTGATGGTCCATATTGAACGGCTCAATTCTGATCTTGCAAGACATGGGATTCTGAAAACGGCTTCCTCGAAAAATATCAGTTAAAGTGTACTTCCTCTCTTGTCTTCTGTAGGAATCCGTCATTTATTTCAAACAATGTCTTTACATCTAATTTTCCTTCAGCTTAGCAGAAACTAAGTCATGTATATTGTGTATACGGTGCGAGTTCTCAGAGAAAAATATTCAACATAAAGTATAATAAAGCGTATTAAATTGCTGAAATGTCTGATGCTGCGCTTTTGCTACTTATTACACGAGGTGCATTTGCTAAGTGAGATTCGCTATAATACGTAGTTTATATTCTTATTAACCGCCGTTTTGTTACACGAAGGTTGCCAACCTGCAAAGCGACGGAACATAGCTGAGATCAGATGGTAACGGCCAAGCACAAAGTGTTCTTGACCATGCATAAGAGGCCTATACTTCGTGTAACTTATACGCACCAACTTGCAAAGTTAATAAGACACATAAAAAGCTTTGGAGATAGGGACGAAAAATGAGTGGTGCAACACCTCACAATATTTTCTGTTTAAACAACACCAGTATCACCAGGGTTACCACGTCGAAAATTCCACACAGTACGCTGTCTAAAGGGAGCGTACAACGTATGAAACTATCCCCGCAGATTGGGGCAAAACCTCGCAAGGCCCATTGTGGCTGCTTTTTACTGCACATGGGTGTTTATAGGGCTCGGCCGCCTTCCCAAAAACCTTTAATATTTCGTTTTTACTACAGGAGGAACCTTGCTTTTTTCATAACGTTACGTGCCTGAATACCGAAGCACAGCGTCTTTCAGACAAATAGTACGCGGAAAACCATGTGAGTACACTCGGATGATACAAGAGAATAACTAAATAATTAAATGTCTAATCGTTTATGTCTCATCGTAAATATATCATCTTTGCATATCCAATGCTTTCAATGCGCTTTCTGTATGATGCAACCTATTTAGAAAATCATTTTCCTGTTGAATTTGCTTTGTCATCTACACCTGTGGTAACTGTTGCATATCCACACTAATCGACAATCGGCACAAAGATATCACCGCTAAAAATTACTCGTTTATGGCGGCAACACAGAGCCGTACTCATTCCTAACATTTAGTTGAATAAACTCTTGGGTTAACATATTTTACAGACCAAGGTTTGTGCCCTGTTAATTGCGTCGTACATGATACCAGCAAGTGTGTATTAAATTCTGCTTGGATAAAGCAAATACTTGATAAAGCCTGAATTAGTGTTAAAGCAACAAGTACAAGAAGAACGAGGGGAATAATTTAGATCCTTGTATTAATGCAAACAGCCGTAATTTATTGTATAATCTGCTTTTATTTTTGACCTCAAAAACAGACCTATTTGAATAACGCGCAGAGTTATAGTCAGATAAGGTACATTCAAATAGATCTACCGGGAACTTGAGTTTGAATTCTGCATACCCCGCCGAATAGAGCCGGTGGTCCGATTGAGTCAGGCACTGAACAATGTCTTTATGACCCCTCAACTTCTTCTGACTTTTCTGGATGATGAAGGTACCATATAACCTCCCTTAATAAAGTGAAAGGGATTAGGTATATTAGAAAGACGGAAGAAAAGTACAAACAAAGCATTAAAATAGCACAGGGATTCGTTTTCTTGACTATTTTCTAATCACAACGACCTTACACACTTAGGGCAGTTGTGGTGTGGTGGAAAACTGTAAGATCACCCTGGAAAAGAACATTGAGGGAGGTTTAATTACTTCAGGTTAGGAGACGAAAGCCGTGGCAACAGAGAGGTGGGCGAGTTGGTCAGTCAATATCTATCGTGCGATAGGAAACCAGATATGATTTTGTGTACCAAGATTCTCAGTAACAACAATCTTATTCCTGTAGAAAAGTGAGCTCTAAACTAAGATGTTTTGTTTGTGCTGACGACTTTGTTGCATTCGCAGGACGCAAATGTATGTACTGTTTTTTGACAGAGTCTTTGCTAGTTAGCATCCGCGGCCAAAGTCACTGTCACTAATGTTCATTCTTTACGTCACCAATACGTAGCAATTTGATTATTTAATGTTTTTGTTGTAATAGCTCTTAGTTTCCTTTAATCAAAAGCATGCTTAGTTGCTACCAGCAATGTTTGTGCGACTGACGATAAAAACACTATCTACTGGTAACTTAAATTTGCAATATTGATAGTTATAGGTTTTTTGACTATATGAGATGCCAGAAATTGAGCACCTTAACTTTACATTAGTGCGAAAGTGCAGCAGCCGGGCTCAATTGCTTTTAATTAAAGGTATTTTAACTTTGCTATTGGAAGAAAATGCAGCAGTGTAAGTAGCACCGGTCTGTTTAGATTGTTACTAATGCGAATAGTTCACAGCAACCCCATTCCAAGAGTTGCTGCATACTTTGCAGTTATTCAACTACTAACGCCCCATAATCAATTGCGTTACATCCTGACGTTAAAGCAACTGGTTTACTAACATTCAGGCAAATGAACGACGTTCTTATAGGCTACCCAAGTCTTTCAACATAAAAGTGATAGGTTGCTAACAAAAGCAAGAGTTTAAACAGACTGCATCCAACGGTTCTTAAATTTACTCGGGATGTACCACTTATTTTACTAGATAACGTGTTGCTAGGTTTACTTACACCATAGGCTTGCTGTTTATTGACACCTGCCAAGTAACTGCTAAATATGCTGCGGTGTTTATATAAACACAAATAAACTTAAAACGAGTAATTGTAAGTGGTAGGGGGCTCTATTAGGTTTTTGTGTAGGTTCGTCGCAGTTAGACACGGACTGACAGCCACCACACATCCAGGAAAGCGCTAGACGGCCGTTTCGGCTTATTAAGACTCGTCAGTAGCGCGCACCCGCCGAACCCTGCCGGATTCGAACGCACGACCATACTCGTGCGAGTCAGCGACTTATGCACTGAGCCATGGGCGACGGCAGCGGACCGCCATGACTGATATCTAACTGCGATATAGCGGGGCTCATCCACCACCGTCGTGCGTGTTATGAATTTGCAGAGGACAAGGCCGGCCCCCAGAGCAACGACTTCCTTTGCAACGCCGCCAATCGAGGTGGCATGTAAGCTGCTAAGGCGACTACTGGTTATTCGTAAGTAGTAGGGGACTTTATCAGGAGTTTGTGCAGGTTCGTCGCAGTTAGACACAGGCAGACAGCCACCACACACCCAGGAAAGCGCTAGACGGCCGTTTCGTCCTAGTAAGACTCATCAGTAGCATGCACCCGCTGAACCCTGCCGGAATCGAACCAACGACCTTACTCTTGCCCGTCGGCGACTTATGTCACTGAGCTATGAGCGACGGCAACGGACCGCCATAAGTGATATCTAACGGCGGCATATGGGATAAATCCCTCTTCTACTTGCAAATAAGCAGTAGTCGCCTTAGCAGCTTACATGCCACCTCGATGAGTGGCGGCTTGCAAAGGAAGTCGCTACACTGGGGGCCAGCTCTATTCTGTGCACATTCATAACATGCAAGACAGCGGAGAATGTGCCGCGCTATATCGCACTTAGATATCGGTCATGGCGGTTTGCTGCCGTCGCCCATGGCTCGGTGACATACTCGCTGACTCTCAAGAGTAAAGTCGCGGGTTCGAATCCGACAGGATTCGGCGAATGCGCGCTACTGACGAATCCCAATTGGACGAGAAAGCCTTTTAGCGCTTTTCTGGATGAGTGGTGGTTGTCAACCTGTGTCAAACTGTGACGAACCTACACAAAATGTTAAAACGATTACACCACCCAAAAGCTTTTATTTTAAAGTAATTGAGATGTTCGGAATTGTAGCGCCTCTTTGCTTAATAAGCAATATATTCATATGTAGGTGATATCAAGCATTCTGTGATCTGCATCACATATTCCTCTTTTCATTTTAGCACCTGCATTCCTCATCCGCCGATCCCTAATAATACAACTTAAAGCAATATATAAGCGCATAAAGCTTTCGTTAATTTATTTCGTTTACATATTAGATATATATAAGAAAAGCAGATTAGATTTGCTAGCAGCTTCAGCCACCAATCCTAGATAAAATTTAGATCACTACAAGTTAAAGTGTGAAGGTTATATTTAAATGAATTGGAGCACAGTTGTTGTTTGGCTTACTGCAGACACAACTTGGGATCTCTCTTCGGTAATATGTTTCTTGGTGCATTGTTGTCATTACTTTACCACATTTATTTTTAACTGGCCTGATTAACGAGTTAAAGATTATAGTGCTTCTTAACTAGGATTGAAATTAAAATCAGTTTTTCATTAAGCTCATAAAGTATGCTGTTAGATGATAATTTGGGTGGAAAGCAGTGAATATTTATCCAACCTATGCCGTATAACCAATGCAAACTTTTATGTGTGTTGTAGATGATTTACTAGTTCGATCCTGTTATTTTAGTAGGTAAGATAGCAGCGCTTTTCTCCACGTGTTTAGTATATTTTGCCCGAAAGCCAAATATGATTTCCCTTTAAGATGTAACTAATATGAAGGAGTGAACGCGGTTGTGTCTACATTTAGCAAGATGGTTGTTAGTGAAGTAGACATTTTGGAAACTGAATGAAACGGCGAGCACATGCTGCTTGGCCATGTGATAAGCGCCAACACCTTTGTGTCCTGCAATGTTTGAAATAGATTGGTATTGCACACTTCCTAGGATACATCGTCAATGGGACTACCAAAGGTGTGCGTTTAAGGAACTACTCAAAGTAATGAACAGCTGAAGGCAGTGTGAGCGTATTAATATTTGTAAAAATTTATTGCAATTTTGGGCAAAAAATAAATTGCGTGAATTATTTTACACCTATGTTAAATTCAACAAAAGCGAAGCTAAACTGAGCCATATAACTAGCAGCTAATAACAGCATTTGGCATACACGCGCAATGCTATTCCAGAAGTCCTTGTGTCATAATTTTAAACAAAAGAAAACGTTTCATGGAAGTTTCATCCAGGAATTTTTTCTTACAGGTTTTAAGGTGGCAAGATAAAACGACACTACAACATTTTAACTCCTGCTATTAATTACGTAGGGAGCATTTACGACACATATAAATTTTGTAAAGTGAACAAATCAAATGGCAGTTTTGCTTAAGCTTAATATTACTATGGAGATTTAAGAAGTATTGTGAAGTAGTAGATTGTTGCTAGTAAAAACCAATCTTTAACAGGTCCCCAGTCCTAATTACGAAGCCTATTTACAATGGATGCTATTTTGCAAAAATCAACGGCCAAGGAACAGGAGAGTTTGGCGGATGTTTTATACCAATGCACATGTTGATGACGACAGCTCACCCCTTTCACTCCATTGGAAGCTATGAATAGGCTACCGCAACATAGTTGCAAGCCACTTCTCACTATACTGTTCAGGCAACCTTGAACGGTTTTCGTGGTAAAAGGGACAAGCATTATCATTAGTTATTTTAATGGTCATAGAACACTACAAACTGCTTCAACTTGGATTATTGTATTGCAAACTGCTATTTCTTAAGACATAGATAGTGTAATAAATTGCACCCTAGTTTAAGAAAATTAACTAGGTAAGTGAACTAACTATGCACGGATAAAACAATGTCACCGATACAAATGGTTGTGCTTTACGATTACGACTAAATTTACTAAGTGGAACGGCGAGTGGCTTAAACTGGAGCAAATGTTAGGCAAATATTAGGTAAAAGCTACCTACTTGGATCCAAGTCGTACGTTATTAGACCATCGTTGACCCCGCAAATAAGTGAGCGAATTCTGTCTACTGCAATAGTTATGTAAATGGGTTGGTATACCTAAAATATAACAAAAGGGATAGGTTAGGGTCGGAGTTGTAGTGGCAAGTGCTACACTTGTCGTGCCACCCCAAGCAGTTCTGCATGGATAGTTGATCGCCAATATGTTTAGCTCTGTGCGGTACGGGAAATAAAGCACTGTCTGTAAGACTGAAAACCAAAGGACCGCATCCTAAACTAAGTACTTTGAAACGCAAAATGCAACTGACAACCTTTGGAAATGAGCGCTAATAAACTGTGCCTCAATAACAGCTCACAAGAATAAAAGGCCAGTTTCATGTGAATTGTGAAGAACCATCAAATGTGGCAAAAGCTTTTTAAGGCCTCGGTAGATCAGGAGGCCTTACGGTTCTCTGTCACCAGAATTGTTCTACAACAATAGAAAGAATGAAATATGCCGGCAATTAACATAGTTTATTCATTTAACTTAATAAGAATAAATGCACGTTAGTGGATGCGTGCTCCATACGCACGCAGTTAGTGTCCATCATGGTAGAACTAGCCTTGGTCGATCGTGTGTTATTTTTGTTAGAAGGTATTGGTTGTGATTACACTATTTTTTATTATTGTTTTTATCATTCCCGTTACCCAGCATTTTGTACCTTTTGTTTAAATTCACAACTTTTGAATGCAACAATTTCTACGCGCTCGCGTCTTGCTGCTTTCGTTTGCTGCTGCCTCTGCTTGCGTTACTGTCACGTCTTTCCATTAGTCGGAGTTATATCTTCGGATCGCTAGTCGGCATTGGAGTAGCATAGACTGAAAGAAGTATTATAACGCAAGTGTGCTTGATTTTTCTTCTATTTTGAGTTTCGGTCTACCATTGTTTTCTGTTTCCACACTCGAACTCGTTAGGCAACGGTCCTTTACAAGAATTTGCGGACGTGTATACGCCTAACACCCTCGATGCTTCTTCCTGTTTGACAGTGATGCTGTTTTGCTAGTTGATATTCTTGTAAAAACGACGAAAGTTACGCTGCGATAATCTTTAAGAAAAGGGTAAAATGCGTCTTAAACTGTATTTGTCTATCGGTGGTTTGTTATCCATGCTCCACAAATAAGGCCTTTTACTGGTTGCCTTGGGTAGCATTTTAAATCAAAAGGCACATAATGCCAACATTTACCTCTGTGACATGCGTAAAAACGGTAAACGTTTAAAGACGTTCTATTATTCTATTACGAAGACAAATAATGTGGTACTATTAAGACATTCACCATTGTATGATTCTGCCTTCTGCATGTCACTTGAAGGGAGTTTGTATTGGTGATAACATCAGGAAATGCAAGCTGCTGTTTCTACCCTGGTTTATCTTTGTTCTCGGATGTATTGCAAAAATTATATTATGATAGTATACAGTTGTGCCTAATACACTAGAGAAAGCAAACATCAACACAGCGTGGCCTAGGAGTGTCATTGCTTTAACTGACAGATAAAACATTAACAGTGCAGTCAATATTTAGTGAAATTCCGTGAGCGTATTGTATTCGTAATTTTCCGCTTTCTACCGGCAGTTGCTTTAGTAGTTAATGTAGTCCATTGGACTCAATATCCTACCCGTACTGCATGGGTTCTAGTAAGCTCACAGGCCTTCAGAATTTATACTTAACACAGCGAACTTAGGTTCCCAAAGTTTAGTACCAAAATTCGTGAAAATAATCTAGTAAGCTTATGTAATTCACAACGAGAAACCACCATCAACGATTGCTTCTGGTGATATTCTATGATGTGTCAAGATTAAGCAATAACATTCCACAAGCTTCCTACGGTCAAAAGTAAATCGTATGGTAACACAAAGTAAAGAAAGATAAATGCAACCAAGTAGGCGAAATGCTTAAAGTCAGCTTGTCAACCGCATAAACAACAGTAAACAAAAGGTTGTGACAATTACACTCATGAAGATTACGACTCACAATTAAAACTTCCGTAGGCATCAGACCTTGCCAAAATACTAAACGACCATTCTGACTTGTTGATATAACCGTCCGTTGTTTTTCCCAGTACCAAATGCATGTTATCCAAGAATAATGAACGTTTTGTTCGGATATTTTGCTCATTAATTTCACATCCCAAAAGTTGATGGTCCCGTCTTTCTTTAAATAATATTAGCAATGTAAGGTTTACTCTCCGTTCCACAAATTACTTCACGTCTAGAATTGTCGCAACTTAGAGCCGTAATCTGCCCTTGAGCTGCCGCATTTATTGAGCAGTGAAATTCCATTGTGTAGCTGTAATGCCGCCTTAATCAACCTTGTGTAATGAGACCGCGTGGTATGGTAAAACAAAACTACCGCAGTTCATACAGCTCTCTTTTTCCTAAGGTACATCCACCATTAACATAAGTTATTTATAGAGCGTTTTGTTTAAAGGCGCTCCTCCTAAGAGTTTGAAAGTGTTACAAATTTCCATCCGGAAGTTAGGGTCCACATTCTGACTAGATTGGAACAGTACTAAATTTTCCCATAGGTTCTTTCGTAAGGACGCATTTAAGCAAAATCACATGTTCTAAAGTACTTCGAGCTGCCCGGTAGTCGCAGACCTAGCAGGGTACTTTAAAGATGGTGACGTTTGTTGATTGGTCGGACGGGAGTGAAACGATTGATCTCTAGACTCTGACATTCTAATCTGGTGTAACCTTAAAACTGTGTTTTAGTGTGCTAAAAAGCTATCAACCGTTTGTCGCCGATTCGAATGCTTAGCAATACGGTTAACCAAATGCTGTAAATTTGGCAGATAAATTAGACAAAGAAATTTCCACACCCTTATGTCCAATATTTGTACAGTGAGCGCATTGTAATGCTAAAAGTCAAAATTAGATCCCCTGTTTTCATGGATGTTGTATTTAACTAATTCGTAGTCTTGGAAGTCCGTTAAAAGCATTGGATTTCCGCAACGTATACCGTAAAAGTTTTCTTTTGTGACAACCTTGTTGCCACGAGCGTCCGCTAATAGTCCGTGGGTTATCTTTTATGCGTCTTCTCAGTATCCTGTCTAGAAGTTGGTAGATGCAAAACAGAACACAGACGAGGTGTGCAGCAAAACGGTTTTGAAGCGAATGCAAACTGGTGTCCATCCAATCAGCTGGGCACGCTGATATCCAACTGCGTTTACTATGCGTCTACGTACCGATGGGGAAAAATCGAAGTGTGTTATGGAAGAAGCTATATTTGCCTTAAATATGCATAACACTAGCGCAATGTTGGTAACTAAAGTAGAAATTATTCACTACAAGGTATAAAAGATAAGCATACTGTTTCTTAGTCCCTTTATTAAAAATTCCTGCCGTCCACATTTAGTTTCGTCCTGGACTATTTGGTTAGTCTCCTATTGTGCCGATACTTTTGGCCTCGGAATTTTAATGTGAAACGAATTAATAATATAATGAAATAAGAAACACTTGGGGATTGTGAGTTTCACAGCAGTGGATACATCATATCAGACATAATTATTTGGCTTCTTTAGCAGCGAAGATTTTGTAAAATCATAGGAATCTTATGCTGCATTATTGTTATTATTATTATTATTATTATTATTATTATTTTTATTGTTCTTATTACTATTAACATTTTATCCAAACATATGTACAGCGAGCCCTCCTACTGAATCGTGCTTTTGGCCACTCGCGGAGAAGCAAAAGAACATGAAGATAAATGCCTTTATATGTCCATGGATATTGGTACCTAATGTTCTAAATAATTATAGGCGCTGTTTAGTGCGTTAAATCCTTCTTTTAAACCGCTCTTTCTGTCAGCGCAAGTGACTTTTCGCGCGCCATGGGTAACGAATATTTCGACACTGCGGTAGTACCTACATACCATCTGTAATCGATTACCGCGTAACGTTGATGGAAAATGCATCCCTTCAGCGCGAGCGGCGAAAGGTTGTGCAGCCTCGTGAGTGTTGTAACTCACTAAATGACCAGATCTTTGGCCCTCGGCAGTGTGTTGGGCGGAGCCTGGGATACTAGTCGGTAAGCAATGACACGTAAGACGTGTCAAATACGACAGTATAGGAGTCGGAGGCTTCTAAACCCAACGTATATTGTACAGGCTACAAGAATAAGAAGCGAATCAGACGGAGCGAGAAACGTGCAGCGAGGAACTCACCAAAACGGTTTGTGACAACGGATGTGCACTCAGTTAAATAAATGGACGTTTCGAAGGTTAAAACAACCATAAAATCCAATGTTACAAGCTACTGAAAGAGCATGTTTTCTGTTGCACTACAAGGGCCTCCCCCTAGAAGGATGAAGGATGGAAGCCTTCGATGGAGCTGTTAGTGGGGGGAACGGAAGGTGAGGGTGGATGTGAATGTTTGCAGGGGCTTGAGAAGGGCTTCCAAAGTGGGGTGAAGCAGAGTTCGCTGGGTCCAGGCTTTTGTTAGTTTTATTTCAGACGATCGTGTGGACCAGAGTGCATCATCGGTGGGGCCGTTGAGGCGGGCTGGTCGGACTGCAAAAAAACTGGCTAGTCCAGTTAAAAGGCCGACAGGACCTTCCCTTTGCTGCAGACGCGACGGTGTGCTTGGGAGGTGTCACCCCCCACCGCACTTTAGTCCACGGTCCTCGTCCCGAGAAGAAATCCAGGCGTCTTCGTCCCCAAGGAGAATCCGAGCGTCCTCGTCCCACGAAGGCATGCGGGCGTCCTCGCCCCGCGAAGGAATCCGGCGTCTTCGTCGGCAATGCCTGGGCGGCGTTTTGGGACCAATCCGTCCGTGGGTGTCTGCGGTCGACCTTTTATGCGTCTTCTCGGCGTCCCGTCTAGATGTTATTAAACGCAAAACAGTACACAGACAAGATGCGGCGCAAAACGGTTTAGAAATGAATGCAAGCTGTTGTCCACTCAAGCAGCTGGGCACGCTGTCGCAAAATTACTAATAGCCAATTGGCGTTACTATGCGTCTACTTGTCGATGTGGAAACATCGAAGTGTGTAATGCATGCAGCTATATTTGCTTAAATATGCGTAACACTAATGCAATATTGGTAACTAAAGTAGAACTTATTCACTACAAGGTATAAAAGATAAGCGTACCGTTTCTTAGCCCATTTATTAAAAGTTCCTGCCGTCCAATTTTAGTTTCTTCCTGGACTATTAATTAGTCTCCTATTGTGCCGATATTTTTAGCCTCGGAATTTTAATGTGAAACGCATTATTAATATAGAGAAATAAGTAAGACTTGGGGGTTGTGAGTTTGGTAGCAGTGGATACATCATAGCATACATATTTATGTTGCTGGTTTAACAGCGAAGCTTTTTGAAAAGCAGAGGAACCTGATGAAGTATTATTGTACCTGTAATTATCATTTATCTAAACATATGCACAGCGAGCTCTCCCAGTGAAGCGTGCTTTTAACCACTCGCGGAGAAGCAAAAGGAGGCGAAGATAAATGCCTTTATATGTCCATGAATATGTTTAACTAATGTACTAAATAATTATCGGCGCTGTTTAGTGCGTTAAATCCTTCTTTTATTCCGTACTTTCTGTCAGCGCAAGTGACTTTTAGCGCCCCATGGTGACTAATAATTCGAACTGTGTTAGTACGTACTTACCAGTCTGTAGTCGATTACCGCGTAACATTGAAGGAATATGCAGAAGAAATCTTACGAATATAAAATACGGATTCCAAATGTAAAAACCACAATAAAGGATCATTCTCCCAAAAAGGGGTCACGTCGGGTCACGTCGGGGTCACCAATTGTTGGGCGGAACCTGGGATACTAGTCGGTAAGCAATGACACGTAAGCCGTGTCAAATACGACAGTATAGAAGTCGGAGGCGACTGAACCCAACGTATATTGTACAGGCTACAAGAATAGGAAGCGAATCAGACAGAGCGAGAAACGTGCAGCGAGGAACTCACCAAAACGGTTTGTGACAACGGATGTGCAGTCCGTTAAACAAATGGACGTTTCGAAGGTTAAAACAACCATAAAATCCAATGTTAAAAGCTACTGAAAGAGCATGTTTTCTGTTGCACGACAAATGCAAATGTACACTTATGGACGACCTATTGGTCCCCCAGTATATCTTCAAACGCCCCTTGAACTTCAACAACGAAAGCTTCATGGTAACAATATCGTAAACATGAAGCGGATAGCCACATATTAATTACAATTACGTAATGCAGTTGCCGCAAACCCAAACCCTAAATTGATTTTGAATAACCAATTCTCGTCCAAGCGAAACTTAATTAGGATGGCATTCAGCCAACAGTATGCATTATCTGATGCTACCACAGCATTAACGTGAGTGCGCTACTGTCGGAGCCTGTATACAACAAGCACAACATTTATAGTCAAATGATATTACAACGCACTTGTGTAATAGTACACCGGCACCAAATGTGCCACTGATGGAGCCTATATACAACGACCACGAGACTTCGAGCCGTACGCTATCACAACGCAACTGCATCCTATTACGTTGACACCAAATATGCCACTGTTGGAGCCTATACACATCGACCACGGGACTTGGAGCGGTGTGCTATTACAACCCGCTTGTGTCCTATCACATCGGCACTATATGTGCCACTGATGAAGCCTATATACAGCGAGCACGAGACTTCGAGCCGTATGCTATTACAACCCAAACGGGTCCTATTACATTGACACCAAATGTGCCACTGTTGGAGCCTATATACAACGACCACGAGACTTGGAGTGGTGTGTTATTACAACCCCCTTGTGTCTTATTACATCGGCCCAAAAGGTGCCACTGATGGAGCCTATATACAGCGAGCACGAGACTTCGAGTCGTTTTCTATTACAACCCAACTGGGTCCAATTACATTGACACCAAATGTGCCACTGATGGAGCCCATATACAACGTGCACGAGTCTTCGAGCCGTGTGATATGACAACCCACCTAGTTCCTGTTACACTGGCAGCAAACGTGCGGACAGTCCAGTTCATTGTTTAACATGCTGTAATCCCAAATGAACGCAGAATCCGATATAAAAACTGTGCATTGTATTTAACCAAAGGCTGCAAGAGAAGCTTCAGCGTTGTTCACTATATTCGTGCCATGGACGCATACGTCCCATGCAGTGTATCATTACACCAAGTCGTATTCATCGGCTAAATATAATAGTAGTGCGAACATATAGCCTACTGTCGGGTAGTTGAATGAGTGTTTATCTGAACAAGGTTTTTACTTCTTAGCGTTTTCTTTACTAGGCTGGAATCCATAAACGCCTATTACATAAGCTCAAGGCATA